GGGCTATCAAAATTAATGGCCACCGTTTCGAATTGGCTTTTGTTAGCCGAAAAATAAAAAAAATAAACTGATGAATCTTTTTATAGAATTGTTTCTATTATGAACACGTGACCTTTGGCTCCGTGCCCAAAATAACTCTTATTAATAACAGCTGAACAATTGCTGACTCAACATTTGTGTACTGATTGCTCCTATTGTGGGCCCTGAAATCCGGTTTTATTTGCCTAATTATAGAAGTACTATGAATCGTTATATAATGACAAGGCAAATTTGTTTGCCAAAAATGTTGGCTGTCACATTTAATTACAACTTTTGAAAGCCAAGTAAATCAAACGGACGCTCAACTTATTGGGGTACAGATTGAGAATTGAGTTGAGGCATGTTTATCACTTTCATTGATTTCCATTTTAATTTGCTTTCTCAGTTTGCATCCGCAATGTTTGCCCGTATTTCGTTTCACAATATTGCACATAGCAAATCAATTTAGTGTACAATTGTTTAAAAATAAACGCCAAATGCGGCACAGTTCCTCTCACAAATATGGCAAAGTTCAAGACGCAAATATATACAATCAAAACAGTTTTGTATTTTGTATATATTTGCTATAATTAGAGCAATTTGCTATAGATTCTCCGTGAAATTCACATGCATAAAACTGGGCTACCTTATACATCTGTTCGATGAGCTATATTTGGAGAAAAAGATCTGTTAACAATTTAAGGAAAAGCGAGAAAGTTTTGTTAATTTAGTTTGTTTGTAAAATACATTGTTGATGAAATAAAAATTATAAATTAGTTTTGTTCGCTCGTTGAGTAAAAACTATTCTACTCCTTTTTTACAATCAGATTAGGACGAGAAACACAGATTAAGTTTACCAAAACTGAGTTCAGAGCATCTTCAAGTCGAGCTGTCTCGCCATACTAAAGAAAAAACTCGTTTTTCTTAGTGTATATTTAAAATTATCTGGAACAAATAAGTATTCTTAAATGCACACGCGAAAAAATGTTTTAAAAATGAAAAACTAGAAATATTTTTAACTAGAAAGAACATATCCTTGGCATTGGTAAAAACTTCTATTTAAAAATCACTTAAATATATTTTCTAAATTTTAAAAGAAATCTAGCCTTGAATTAAGTACAGAAATAACTTGGCTTTCAGCAACATAAATTCTTAATAATAAGGTAAGCTGCCAAATGTAAATTGCAGGGCTATTTTTTTTTTTGTGAGTGTATGATTTTATTGTATATAATATATGCAATTAATCGACTCGACGCTTGCACTTGCTGGGCTGGGGAAATTGATATAATTTCGATAAACGAAATGGAATGCAACCGCAGCCACAACGACGACGACGACGACGGCGACGACAGGCGCAATTACGTTTTTTTTGAATTTACGCTTAATGCTTTCAATTGGCTTTTGAATTAATAATTGAGTCGTATTGTATTTAAGAGCGGGTCGCAAAAGTCCGGCTGAAAACCCACTCAGACTGTCTAATAGACAGATGGACAGACAGAGAGCCTGCCTCACTGCATTACCCCAATTCAAATCCGATTTGCCTGAGGATTGCAGCACGTGCTCGCCTTCGCCTCTCTCAGGGTGAAGGGCTACTTGAGGGCCGTTGAGGTCCAATGCGCCAAAAGTTGACATTGGCATTTTGGAGCAGGGCGCAGTGAATACAATTATTATGTGGCAAGGTTGCCCCACAAATTGTTTATTTGCTCGCTAAGCCCATACGGGAGTTATTTGGTTAGTTGGCTGCTTTGCTCTTGATCCGGCTGCCGCAGGGCAAGACTAACGATTGCTTTTTGTCCGCAGCACTTCACAGGCGGCAAAATACGAAAGAGAAGAAAGAGTGCCCAATGTCCCAAATTCAAACAATAAAAAAAAGAAAAGAAACAGACATCAAATTGCCTATAAAAAATAGTAAAGTAAGAATGCTGCAGTCAATGGAGCGCGACTACGAGATACCCTTAGACATAAGTAGTCTTAAATGTTCCTTGAAATGTAGGAAATGAAGTGAAGAACTAAGCAGCTAATTTTTTAAACTGACTTGCAGCAAATGAAAACTAATCTTATATGATTAATTAAATTTATAGATGGGAAATGGGACAGAAGTCGGCTATATCGAGTCGAGTTTTCTTCTGCCTGTGACAGACTTTTGCACAACGCCAATATATCCATTTTAACCATTTCGAATGGGTTCAGGGTATGAAGTGATAAGAAAAAGACAGTAAAATAAATAAAAGCCAGAAACTAATTCGATGCTTTCCCTCTGATTTCGTATCTTAACTTTTGACCTGACTTGGCTGCATCAGTATCTGCAGCTCAAACTGGAAATGTATCTTTGCATCTTTGAAGGAATTATGTGTGTATCTGTGTGTGTCTGGCAGCATTCCAAGTGCGCCGTCATTTTGATAATGCAAAATCTGTTTGAAAATTCTCAAAATTTAAATTTAAAATTCCAAATCGAAATACAAATAATTGCATTTGGTGTTTGCCTGGTGAGCTTATTGGCGTGCATGTCATGAATTCACTTAATTGAGTGAAATTGATTTTAGTTTGCTCAACAGTTCGATTTTTGCACTCTAGTTGCACACACACACACACACACACATATATATATATAGGTATATATAAATGCTAATAAAATATTTGCATTGCCGCATCAAAGAAAAATCAACAAAAAAAAGTGCTTTAAAAATGTTCCGATTCGCTTGCGTGCCAAACGAGTTTTGATTGCGACTGAAGCAGAACTCATCGCACCAGCAGCCTGCTGCTCTTCCCTTCCATAAGCGCCACAATTTGTCTAAACAGACCCATATATATATATATATATATATATATATATATGGACCATTCGACACGCACATTGACATGGAACATATTCGAGCTGCATTTGGAATTGTTTTTCTTTTGTTCAAATTTAGCAATATGCACATCGTGCATATCTCTGTACAGATCTATATATGTGTACACATTTTGTTTGATAATGTTTCCTAGTCACCTTCATATTTTACAGCATGCTCTTGCCCAGTGTGCACAGTGTGCTTGGCTTTATTTGCATTCTTTCCTTGGTTTTGTTTTTCAAGAGTAAACTTTTCTATGGGAGGAAAAAATGCAATTTAATTTGAAGAATTTACTTTAAAAAAATAAGAAGAGAATATCGCTGAGAGCTCGAGGCAAACTTTGATGAGAAGTAATTACGGAGAAGTAGCCATAATAAAAAAATTGAATATTAAATGAAGCAATTACGCAAATGCGATAAAATAGTAGACACAATAGTTGACCCTTAAAAAACAACACTGAAATATTCAAATAATGTAAGGTTTCAAATTACGAAGCATTTTAATTGCCAACTTTCATGTTTAATGAACTATGTTAATTAGTTTTCTTGAGAATATTAAGTGATCTACGACAGTATTTCTGGATCAGTTGCCTATTGAAAATAAATTATAGTTCTCAGCCTTCTTAACTAAAACTTTCTGTTCGATAGGAGTAAGTTCTAAATAAATATATTTATTATAAGTGGTGATTGACACGGATATTGTCAAGGAAGAATTGGATAAATTGTAATTTTTTATACATTTTAAACCACCTTTCATAAATAAAGTAAAATTAGTTGGGGTGGGGATGAGCTCCCCTCTGTTCCCTCCCTGCGTACCCACTTGTATATAGTTGTTTAAATATACATACAACAAATGAATGTTATGTACAATCTGTGGCTGGTGTCTTATCTTATCAGTAGCTTTTAGGAAAATTTGATTTAGAGCACCTACCGTTCACATTCGATTTGGGGGCATGGGATCATTACACCAGCGTTGCGGGGTTGGGCAACTGCTACACTCAGCAAACCAATCGCCCTGCAATTTAGAACATCGTTCGAAAATGAAAATCATCCTTAAAACTAGATAGTTTGTCTTGTTTTAAGAAATTTTTTCTAATATATAAAAAAAAATAAATTCTTAGGCTTTTTAAAAGCTTTTTTATAAATATTTTCTATTGTTAAGAAGTATATTTGTCTTTCTATCAGACCTAAGAACCGTAAAATTTTTCCGTTTTATTTTGTTTCCTATAAATTGCTTGAACTTGTAAACAGTCTGAAAAGTTTGTTTATGTGAAATCTTAAAAGACGAGTGTGACTAATTACTTAAATAACAGAAGGCTAATGTGTACACTTATAAAATCAGTCTGGAATTAAGAAAATATTTTTCTACACTTTTGAAAAAAGCTACTCTTGAGTATTGAGTAAAAAGAGCCTGCAATTTAGAAATATAATAGAAATAGAAGAAATATATAATATCTAAGCGTCTCTTAACGCCAAAATTATGGCGATTTTCTAAATTGTATAACGATTTTTTCTGAGTGTATATATCTGCGATATTTGCTTATATGTACATATATACGAGCATATATTAATGTATCTGTAGATGTATATATATTTTGTTATCCAAGTGCTATGCGTGTTTTCCTAAACATTAATTTAGTTCAATTTCTCGCGCGATCAAAAGCAGATGAGCATGTCGACATAGCTGTGCTGGATGCTATAAATTGTACCATATGTACATACATATATATATATATGTGTATATATACGCCCATGTATGATGAACTCACTGTATATAGCTTGGACCTCAAGCCACTCTCTTTGCACCACCTCGTCTCCCCATCCCTTGACCAGAGCCACACAGTTGCATAATCAATATTAATAATTAACAAAAGTTCTTTTGTTTATTTTTCTTACATATATAAATATATATATATATATATATATATTTTTTTTTATTGTTTCCTGCTCACTTTAGCGTGGCATCGCTCTTTGTGTCCCGTTTTGTAAACCCCAATCCACCCACCAAATATATAACCTTTGCCCAACCGCTGCACATTTTGTTTGCCAATTTGTTTGTGTCGAAATAGATAAATTTGTGTGTGTTGCCGGCGTTTATCGCCATTCCATCTGTAACGTTTATCCGGTTCTCATTCTTGTGTGCCTCTTGTAGCGCCAGTCGAGACAACTTGTATCCAGACGATCAGCACCAGCGTCACTCGCACTCCCATCAGCACTTGGTGCGGCAGTCTCTGAACAGCCTTAGTTACGCCCAGCCCGGATCGAGTTCCGCAACACCTGCGTCCGGGCCAACTGGCCCGATACCCGTACACTCACATTCATCGGCATCGGCCTCTGTGCGCAACAGTCCGAGTCCGAGCAGCGGCAGCGTTGGAGTCATCGCACTTGGTGCCGTTCGCAGTCGACGTGGCGAGGCGGCGGATCGTGAAAGAGATCGAGATCGAGATCGGGATCGAGAACGGGACGGTGACGGCGACAGCGTATCGCTGCTGAGATCGGGTCTGGATGAGCAGCGTTCGCAGCGACAGCGCAGCAGCAGCACTCGTCTATCCAGCGGCATCTCCAAGCAAAACTCCTGCGACAGTCGGAGCAGTGGCCTACGCATCCTCGATCCGGCGCCCTCGCACAGCTACAGTCACAGTCACAGTCCCGTTAGCTGCGGCACCGAGCAGAGCGTGAGCAGCACTGGCGGCCAGTCGGCCCTCTACGATGCCTGTCACGAATACACGCGCAGCTTGAGTGCAGCTCCGACAACGGAACCCACTGGCGGAGCAGCTGCATTAAGTGGACCAGCAGCAGCAGGAGCAGCAGCAGGAGCAGGTGGATTAGGCGGAGCTGGGCTACTGAAAAGCCACTACAGCGATCAACAGCTATCGGAGCCGCACTTTACCAATCTCAATCTCAATCTCAATTTGAGCAGCGATTACGATACGGGCAGCGATAAGCAGCAGCTGGTGAATCAGACGTACATCTTCAAGTGCATCGCGAACAGTCCATCGTTTTTGCGCACCAACAAGATCAAGGAGCAGTCGAAGAAGCTGCGAAATCTGTCCCTGAAAACGCGCACGGCCAAAAAGAAGGGTCAAATAATATCGAAATCGAACGCCGTATCGGATAATTCACTGCATCCGGGCGATAAGTATCTCAATTTGTATCTGGTGGAGAAGAAGCATTCGCTGCAATCACAAATTGCGCCCACATCGAACACATCCGTTGCAGCCAGTTGCTCGACGTCGTCGTCAACAGCGCGTCAGCAACAGTTGCCGGCATTGTCGGCGGTTGCCGCACGGCAACAGCAGCTGCTGCTTAACGGTTCGCTGAAGAGCAGCAGTAGCAGTGATAATCGACAGACGAAGACATTGCCCGCTTATCAGGAGTATCGTTGTGGGAGCAGCAGCAGCAACACCATACCCACAACGGGCAAGAGTCCGCCGGTGCCGCACTCGCTGGCGGCGAAAATAAGCGGCAAGAACTGTAACAATCTGCTGCAAAACGCCGGCGGCAATCAGCTCAGCCTGAGCAGTAACTCATGCCACAAGCTACATGCGCACAGTCAATACGCCCAGCAGCAGCAGCAACAGCATCTGGCCTCATCGCCCAAGAGCTCCGTGTCGAGCAACGGCCATTTGAACAAATACTGTTTAACGGATCTGACGCGACGCAAGGCGGAATTCAATCGGCAGCTGAGCGCTCCGACAGATTATACGCGCCACTCGTCGAGCAACGGATCACAGCAGGAGGGCTCCGAGCCGGCCAATGAGACGGGTGTGGGTGTGGGTGAGTCCACCATAACAGTTGCCAGCGCTGGCGTTCTCGGACACCGGACACCACAATACGGCCACGGCCACGGACCCGGTCAGGCATCAACGGCGCCGGCCACCCTCAAATCGCTGCAACTCCACAATTTTGGTGTGCACCATCCGACGCCGAGGCCCACGTCCACATCGTGCACCAATAGCTTCAATCGGCGCCACATACGCAGACACAAGAGCAAACTAAGCGAACGGTGAGTCTGTTTTCTATAATACCCTATAGTATTTATCTTATCGATCATATATACATATGTATATATATAATGATCTTGCTGCAAGTATCTATATCTGTATGTCCGAGCTGTATGCAGTAAATAGGTCCGAGATGACTGGTCTAATCGGTCGAATGATGAGTTGTATAACGAAGACTAACTCCTCTACCTTCTCCCCATAAGGCACAACTTTCTGCACATTCAACATTCGTTTAGTATGTTGTGAATGTTCGATATTCTTCTCTTCTTTGTGTTCTTTTTTTTGCGATGATTTATCAAATTTCATATCAATCGAAGAAATGTTTGACAGAATGGAAACAGGCTATTGACACAGCTGAGGTCTAAATTTGTGTGCGGAGTTGAAAATATTGTCACGCCTTCAGTTGCAATATAATTACACAAATGTGGAATATTCAGTGCAATGCCAGACCTCAAGCTGGAATAAATAAAATTTGTTTAAAATAATAACCAAAATAGAAGTATTTAAAACTCCAAACAGAAACGTATTTTAACTCCATATATAATCTTCGGCGTGCATAAACCGTTCTTTCTTTTTTTGTTTTTTACTAATTTTTCTTTACTAGTGTTATCACTGGCATTATTAACCAGTTGCCAGATTTGAATAGCTTAAATAAATTAGGCATTCAACGCGTTTTCAGGTTGTCGCCGTCGTCATTCGATTTCTGAGTGCTTACCGGTTTTCTGTTAGCTTATCGGGGCACATTTGCATATTTGCCATCAGCATCGTCTGGCACCGAGTCTGAGGTCTGAGTCTGGGAAATACTCTGGCCAGGGACTGGCCGGGTAATGAGCTTCTGAAACGCGAGCAGTGAACTTCGTTTGGTCGTACGTTGAGCTCTTCGTATAAAAATAAACAAGTTGCCAACGCGCAGGATCAGTTAAACAAGTGCTACAATCAATCATTTAATCAATTATTTTGTGCTCTGTATCACTGTCTAAACTTTGAACTTTCTTTAACAAATAACTAAAAAGCTAACAATAAAAAGTGTGTCAACTCGCAGAATCAACATTCAAATCTCGAGAACGGAGTTTCCCATCGTACGTACTTCAGTTTGATTGATAGATCGAGCTATCCTTCAATCAATCGTTTTATATATTTGCAACTTTTTCAATAACTTGGTCAAGGTAAACGTTGTATCAATTTGAAAAGCGCTGCGTTCGTGCTAAATCAATCAATCAATCAAACCGTTCAATCAGTGGCTTCATTCGCCTTAAATAACTGAAGAAACGAGTACAAATAGAACTAAAGTCAATTCGCAGACCCAATTTCAGCAGCATCAGTAAATCGCATAGTTAATCGGCTAATCAATCGCTCACTTAATCAATCGCTCGCTCAATCATTCGTTTATAGCAAAGTGTAACGGCGACCGTGAAAGTGCAAGGGGATTTTTCATGTGTTCTCCGTTGTCGTTTAGTATTCGGTTGATTGTGCTGGCGACACGGAAAACTCTCGCCATTATCATAATGATTGGCGTGTCAGTTGTCGGATCGTAAATCTATAATTGATTGCACTAGTTTGTTTAGATTGTTGCTCAGGCAGCAATGTCGTATTTCTCGGTCTTCGACACTCCGCCTCTATATATCTGTCTGTCTGCCGTTGCTGCTCATTTACATAAAATCTAGAGGTAGTTTATTTTACTGATGTGTTTATTTTTTTCGTATCTTTATTGTTGCCAATTTTTGAAGAATATCAACAAATTATGGTTTAGCCATAATTTGTACGACGCTGCTGCTAGTCGCAAAATCAATTAAAAAGCAACGCAACACACAACAAATGTTGCTTTATTTATTTATTGCTTTTTTTTTTGTTGCATTGTGCAACAGCAGCGCGAATGCCTCAGAACAGGTTATAATGGCGACCCAGCAACAGCCTCATCAGCTCAGAGAAATAAATAAGTTTACAGAACAAAAAAAAAACCGAAAGAAAGAATAATAAAGAAAACTAAAACGATCACTGTAGAATGTAATGAAAATGAACAAATGCTGGGTGTCAGATGATCAATTATTTAATTACGCGCCAAATTCCTTTTTCGGTATTCGGAAACCGAGCTTCGTTTAGGCATCGATTGCCGCAAATTGAAAGTCGAGGTAACGCCTGCAAGCAAACAAACAAATAAACAAACACTGAAATAAATCGGCCACAACAACCAGATACAAAACAACAACAACAAAAAAGCAAAACAAAAACAAAAACAAACCGAATGCTGGAGGACGCCAAAATAAACGAACTGAACACATTCGAGCTCGGAGCGGCATTCGTTGTTCGTTCGCGACTCGAATTGAGATTCATTCGGATTCGGATTCGAATACCGATATTCGGAGTGTTTGCCGGCTGTTTTGCTCGTGGCGCATTTCTGTTGTCGGCGATACTTAGTTGTGCTCGGTTATCGCGCTTGTAATAACTTGAAAAGATAAATTACGGTCTATAGAGAACAAATAACACATACACCTCCATAAATAAATAAACAAATATATATATATACATATATGTATATATATATATATTTGCATAGATATATGTATAGCGATAAAATTAAGTTTCGGTTGTCAAATTAGAGAAAACAGATGTTTGACCACGTTTCAAGTTTCAGGCAGCAACAAATAAATGCAAACCACAATTAAAAACGTAATCAAAAAACTGAAACTGAAACTGTGATGTTCAACAACAGAACACAACAAACAAAACTAATTGTGTGATTTACTGTTACCCGATATGTGTTACAAACATATCTACAGATATATCTTTATATGGTTATTAATCGCACTCTGTCGTTTTTTGTGGTTTTTTTTTGCGCGCGATTTGCTAAGGAGCCAACAAAACGACATAATACAATATTAACGAGATGAATAGTAATAATAATAATCGCAATAAAATTCATTAGGGCTAATGCAAGCGAAGATTAAATTAAATCAGCTTCATCAGGCTTAATTAAAACGAAGCTTTCCCATTTAAAAACTACACTCAATTGAGTGTGAACACTGTGGAACACTGAATAGTGAACGGATCGGCCAAAAAAAAAAAAAAAGAAGAAAGAAAGAAAGAAAATAAATAAATTATAACAGTACTGTGTACTGTGCACGCGTTTGCCTTACCAAACAATAGAACATCCATCACCAGAAACATCGAGAGAGAGGGAGAGAGAGAGAGAAAGGGAGAGAGCAGACCACGCGATTTCGTGTGCCAATAGGGCAACATTTCCGCAACGAGACCTCAGAGACGGTTGTCGTATCAGCGGAAAGACCTTGACAATCACCGAATACAAGGTGAGAGTGAGAGAAAGAAAGAGAGAGGGAGATCTGGATGCTGTAAGCTTCGACTTTATGCGTGTGCAACAATTAAGCGAATAATTACAAGCAACACACAAAACAAACAAAAAAAAAAAAAACAAAACTTAACTGAACCTAAACGCATACTTTCACCCGATTACCTTAGCGGTGTACTTGTAATATATATATACTATATACATATATGCATCGTTAATATGCATCGCTGTATTCGTACATTTATTTGTTGTTGTTATTATTATTGTTATTATTATTATTATTTACAGCCTGCTGAACGGCGATAGTGAAGAATCAGTACGCTGCTCATACTGCTCCGTATTGAATGTGAATGAGAACGACTTGCGCATTTCATTTGAGAACACCTGCACCGACTCGCTGGTCACCGCTTTCGATGATGAGGCACTGCTGATATGCGACCAAGGAACCGAAATGGCAAGAACAAAGGTTTTATTTATACATGTAGCACAGGACGTTTCCCCCAACGTTCCTCGTATCCTCAAAAAGTATATAGAGAGAGAAAGAGACTAGATATTCGTAATCATTTGTTTAAAACTGTTTTGCTGACTAACTGAATTACAGTGCAAGTAATTTCACAAAGTGTCAAATTTATACAGAAAATCAGTCATACGACGTAAATGAGAGCTAGACGAGTTTTTAGAAAACTAGACACGGAAGTAGCAAAAAAAACTTTGGGAAACTTCTGCAATAAATTTATTTACATTTTTATTTTCGTTCAAGATTATTTTGGTCATTCATTTGGGAATAACCAAGCAGCCACCTAGTGGCAAATAGATAATGTTTTTTTTTTTTTATCTCAAATGGGTTCAAACAATTGAACTTACAAAAATTCCCCGACTAGAGTGGAATTTAAAGACAAACACTTAAGGCGAACAAATAGCAACAGTTATCTCCAATAATGACAATTTAGATATGCAAACTACTCATACGATTTATAATTAATCACAACACACAGAGACAGTAAATCCGATTTTGTTTAGATTTGGTTAATGAGGATGACCAGATGTAACTGCAGTGAATCACAGTGACAACTAATTGATTTGGATGGCTTACTTTTTGTTTTTGTGTGGTATTTTTGCAGGTACACTTTGATGATGTGTCGTTGTACGGCACTCCGAAAGAGGAGCCAATGCCCAACATACCAATAGTCTCGGAAAAAGTCTCGGCGAATTTCCTAAAAAGTCAATTGCAATCATGGTTCCAGCCGACAGACAATCGTCTGGCCATGAAATTATTTGGCAGCCGGAAGGCTTTGGTCAAAGAACGCATACGTCAGAAAACTTCCGGGCATTGGGTTATACACCCGTGCAGTTCATTCAGGTAATTGAAACCCACGTCACCAATTGCATTCAGATAGTAAATATTTTTTATATATATATTTTGGCAGGTTTTACTGGGACCTTTGCATGCTTTTATTATTAGTAGCAAATCTTATTATCCTGCCAGTCGCAATATCATTCTTCAACGATGATCTAAGCACACGATGGATTGCCTTCAACTGCCTAAGTGATACTATTTTTTTAATAGATATTGTAGTCAATTTTAGAACAGGTAATGTGCACTGTTAATCATCACAGTTAATAACACAACACAGTATAACAGGGCTATTAGTTAATTATGGAAATTTGTTGACTAATCTATTTGCATTTTGCAGGAATTATGCAACAAGACAACGCTGAACAAGTAATATTGGATCCAAAGCTTATAGCTAAACACTATTTAAGAACCTGGTTTTTTCTCGATTTGATTTCGTCGATACCATTAGATTATATATTTTTAATTTTCAATCAAGTAAGTTAATTGTGTTTTAAGAAACAGTACGCAACATTTTGATTAAGATTATGAAATTGCAGGATTTCTCTGATTCTTTTCAAATATTGCATGCCGGACGCGCCCTGCGCATCCTTCGTCTAGCTAAATTACTATCCTTAGTTCGCCTGCTGCGCCTGTCCCGCCTCGTGCGCTACGTATCGCAATGGGAGGAGGTCTATGTAAGTACGCGATTCAATTTTGGCAACACTTTAACTCTTTCTTTGCATAACACACACACACATATATATATATATATATATATATTCTTTTCGATTTAAATATATATATATATATATATACATGTATGTGTATATATTTCTTTTGGTAAAGTACACTTAATATTTGAATATTGAATTTCGATTTCGATTTCGTCCATAATATGTTTCAGTTTTCAGTTTACAGTTTTCAGTTTGAGTTTTGTTGTTCGTTTATCGAATCAGTTATGATTTTTGCAATAAATTATCTGACCTTAAGCTCAACGTATATAAATTCATTACTGCAATACATTCCACACAAAAGTTCAACATATTTAACAACATATTTAGGTTTCGATTTTAGGGCTTAGTACAGTTGATAGCCAGTGGTCAGAGTTGTCTATATAGTCCAAAGTGCTCACTCTTCTCTATGTTGTTTTCTTTTGCGACTAAATAATATTTTAAATGGCGCGTCAATCGTTCAAACTAAACAATTATCAGTTGTAACATAAATGACTAGAAATACTCGGTGTTTTCATTGTGCTATGATTTATTCTATTTTTTTTTTAATATACCTAAGTATATTTATATATGTATGTGTACCGATATGAGTATAAAATTCCCAAAAACGCTGTACAAAAAAAAAAGCCCAAAACAAAAAGTTGTGTAAATTTTACATACAGTAATATTTGTTTTTAAACTTGTGTTGCGTTGCGCTCCAAGCCCAAGTCCAAGTCCAAGTCCAACTCCTAATGCCGCTCAAGCTGACCAAAGCTCCGAAACAACAACAACAACAACACCTCACCACCAACAAAAAAAAAAAAAAAACTACAACAACAACAAAAACCACTCAACATTTTCACCATGTCGCGCTCCGCTTGATCCTTCGCTCTTTCGCGGGGGGATAAATAATTTTTTTTGTTGCTTACCTTTTCACAATTATTGTGTTGGTCAATTCTTTATTTCAATTGTGTTTTTCCTTTTTCTGGTTATCAAATTGATAATTTAAATTTCTTGCCGACTTATGAAGCACACCAGAAACCAAAATTCTTCATTGCACCATGTACAAAAAAAATATTCAAATCTTTGAAGACTTTTTCTTCCGAGTCAAAGTAACCACAAACTAAGAAACATATAAAAAAAAAAAAAAAAATTCAAGTGTTGAAAAATGCTTTTTCTCCACAAAACACTTTCTTACGCAATGTCACCCAAAAATAAAAGTACAACAGAAACTTCAACTTACATTGCCCAACTTGGACTATTTATGATTATTTTTTCATATGTATTTTGTTTTAAAACTGTTCAACTTTATACAAACCAAGTATATATGTATAATATAAGTATGGTTGATCTTCTCGCTCGCATAAACAAATACAAATTTGCTTATCAAAATCAGATTAAGTAACAACAAAAAAAAAAAAACAAAAAACAATACAAAACCACAAATATTTAAGTTAACAAAAAAAAAAAAAAAAAAAAATCATCTTAGCAAAATCAGGGGCCTAAAATACCTGTGTATATATATGGTTTTAGATTCTGCAGAATCTACAGAAAAAAAGTGCTGATCGCAGAGGGAGAATGAACAGAAAAGACAAAGATGGCTTGACAAAAAGCAACCTAATTCTCAAGGTAACAACCAAACAATCAAAAACATCTTTAAAATTATTTAAAAAATAAAAATCAACACTATCAAAAAAAAAAAAAAAAAAAAAAAGAGAAAGACATAAAACAAATTCCAATTTTTGATATACAAAAACAAAAAGCCTTGATTGATTGACATTATAATTATGTATTAATTGGTGCAACATAACTCACATTTGAGATATGCTTGAACCAACATTGAGTTTTAGTGCATATTTCGTTCGTTCGTTCGTTCGTTCGATTGTTCGTTGATCATGTTTGCTTGATTTTAATGTTCGTTCGTACATTCTGTAAATTTTCTAAGTCTGCCTTTTAATATACATATTGATTGATTGATTGATTGATTGATAGATAAATAAGTACATACATATTTATTATTGATTTAACGCATCAACAACAAATCGCCTGACAGATTTCAAGTAAATCAAATTGTTCAGCAAATGTCGCGCTATTTAATCATTAATGTATCCCAACTTCGGTTCAATCGAAGCTTGTTTTTATGCACTTCACAATGTGTGGTTTTCGACTCAAAATCAAATAACAAATAAATATTCTGTCCGCTTCAATCACTTCAAGGAGCAATCGAAGTTTGCAAAATGCAAAAAGGATACTTATAGTTTAGTTAGTTGTAGTTTTGAATTCGACTTCACGTATCTCGAGCATGTCCTAAACTCAATTACTCTCTATCTAGTGAAAGATTAGTTCTAGTTTTAGTTTATTTTCCCCCTTTTGTTCTTTTTCCTAATCTACTGATGGTAGACTGTATATATGTTAACAAACAACGCCTGTGAATTGCATCTAGACACAATCCTTAGTTATTTCGATTCCAAACTCAAATCAAACGCGAATTCAAATGATGAAAACGTCAAACAGTTTTTTATATTAGCTGGCTCAATGCTTTTTGCTTCAGCACAATGGCAAAAATATTACATGTGAGAAGCACGCACATAAAAATATGTTGTGCCAGTAAAAGAATTATAAAACCAATATTGTTATCGGTTGACGAATTGTATATAACGCAGCAACAACAACAACGTCACCGACGTCACCCGCCCCCTACGATGTATAGTAAATGCCACAAACAAAAAAAACAAAAATAAAAAAAATAAACAAAAATAAAGAAATGTTGCTAAAGCTGATGCGACTGCGATTGTTTCAACATTGCTTTTGGCTAAGCTTTTTTGTTTTTGTTGGCCAAAACGCTGCACCCACTCAGCTCACAATACACACAAATACAATTAACTCGTTTGGCACTTCCGCGCTTTAATGCTAATTGAAAACTACTGTTGAACAACGAACACGAACACGAACACTTTACACTCCCGAAATAAACAGCCCTGAAATTTAGAAAATCGCCCTGAAATCTAGCCAAAAATTTCAAAGTAAACAAAAGAAAAGTATTAAAGTTAGAAAGGATTTTTGGTAATTTTCAGAAATTTTTTTTTCTAATAGAGCATAAATATATCATTATTATAGAAATAACATCAACATATATGAGAAAAAAAATACATAAATTTAGAATGGATTTTTTTTTCTAATTTTTCCGAAATACGTTTCTTAATAATCTAAAAACTATAAGTGTAATCCTTTATTGTTAGAAGAGAAATCATAAATCAAATGACATTTTAAGTGATCTTAAATAATTGTTTATGAGAAAAATTAAAATTTAAAAAAAAATACTTGAAATTAAACTGTTTTCTAGACATCAGAAGACAAGTAAATTAATCCGTTCGACAAATATACTTTCTGAATAATAAAGTAAACCTTATTTATTTGATTTCGACTAATATAGGCCAACAAGCAAAAGTACAAAAAGTAAAATATAAATTCATTCTAATTAAAAAATAAGAACAATTTCAAAGATTTCTGATGCTATTTAAATGCAAATTGTTCCAAAATTTGTTAGACTTTGTTTCCAAGAGTATGGCGACTTTCTAAAATTCGGGCCAAGCTGTTTTTTCTGAGTGTACTACACACTTAGCAAATACATTGCATTTAGTACATACCAGATACATACATATATGTAAATCAAGACTTGAACGTATTGCATAGCATACATTTGTGGGCAAAGCAAAAAACAAAACAATAAAAAAAAACAATAAAAAAAAAACGCTTACTACTGCAACAACTGCATCTGCCACACTTAATATAGTTCTATATATATTATGCATCGTATTTTCTACTGTCACAACATGAACAACAGCAACAACAACAACAATAACAACAACAACAATGCTACAAACAACAGCAACAACACACAGTTTGATTGATAACGTTATCAATGCTTTTGCTTTTGTTTCGGCGCCAATTTTGAGCCGTGCGCTTTTTTGCTCTACTCCTACTACTACTACTACTACTACTACTACTACGCTACTCTACTCTACTACTATTCTACGCTACTCTGCTCTGCTCAACTGTACTATCTGCTACTTAAAGCAAACTGTAATCTTTAACTAATTTATATAAGTCTGCCACTCTATTGCCAATTATGCAACATAAAAAAAAAAAAAACATATGTTTTGTGTTTGTTATTACGTTTTGGTTTTGTAATTTGTTTAATTGGTTTTTCTGTTTGGTTATTGTATTTTTTTTTTCTTTTTTTTTTTTGGTTATGGGCTCTCTTAAGTTTGGTTACAATTTGTGTTCACTCTCTTTTCGTGTGCAAAAAGATTTCAGCTAAAGAATCGCGTGCCACATTCATCGTTTTCAGTAAGTCTGTGTGTGAGTTAATGCCAAGAATCTGTGCAACAGTGTGGTGAGCTGTATTCGCACACACATATCCTCTATACGTGAATTTTTCATACAAAAACACAAAAAAATAAAAAAAAATAAAATAAAATAGAAAAGAAAAGAAAACTGAACAAAACTTGAATGCAACACTTTTGACTCTTTACTTTGGGTTTTCTTCTTTTTTTGTGGTTTCGTTTCGTTTCGTTTCGGTTTGTTGTTTGCTGATTTGTTCTCTTAAACTTTGTACAGAAAACGTAGCACTAACAATAATAAAACAACAACTTCAACTTCAACTACAACAACAACAACAGCTGTGTAAAAGATCGTCTTTAGCGACAGTTATTAAATACTTGTGTATATTTAACATACTTCCCCATACATCAACTCTCGTTTACTTAAGTACTTCATTTATTTGGAAACTGAGCAAAAGTTAAGATGAGCACTTGTACCATAATAGCAGCTGATTTGCACTAAACAATGTAGAAAATGGTTGAATTTATTGCGCTCAGGTTGTGTACCACACACACACACACTCAAATACATACACACAGACACAGATACATACACACACACACACACACACACCTGTACTGATGTATTTGCCTAATATTAGACTCACAAAATTACTTCTTAAATTATATTGTATATTTGATTTGTTCAATCTGATTGCGATTTTCTGTCTGCATCTAAATAGTGCCAGCTAACAAAATTCTATGTGCATTTTATGGCAGTTTATCCTTCAATTATACCGAGTGTAGCATACTTCTCGGCGTGACTGTGACGAGTGACGCGTGTCTTCTTTTTTTTATTCTTTCTATTTTTATTGGGCATAAACTGTCAGAAAATCCTTAGCATAACTATTTATTTGGAATTATTGGTTTTTATTTGTGGCTGTGGTTTGGTTTCATTTTTCGTTTGCTTCTTAATCGCAAAGTAATTGGCGCAATTATTATTAATAAATATTCGTGTAAGGCAGCTGGAAGCCCAAATCCACAAAAAAAAATTTCAAAATTTAAATGAATTGTATTTTTTGTTCGCGATTTTGGTTTCCATTTTTAGTTAACTTAAAATGCCTTTTGGGTTTGTCGTCTTTCAAATGTGTTAATCACAAATGTAACAAACACACACACACACACAACATATTCACACACATACATAAACACACACACACACACACAACACACACACACATGTATAGACAGTGCGGTGCTGGCCTTTCGTTGATGTGCACTCTTATTGATAAATCTGGTTGCAGTTCCTCAATATGGCCTCGGTGTTCATGAGGATCTTCAATTTAATTTGCATGATGCTCTTGATCGGACACTGGAGCGGTTGTCTGCAGTTCTTAGTGCCAATGTTACAGGGTTTTCCATCTAATTCCTGGGTATCCATCAATGAGTTACAGGTGCGCTACAATTCTGTCAAAGCTCCCTCTCACAAAAACAAAAAACAAAAAACAATCAAAAAACATTCTAAAATTTGTATTGTGTGCGACTTGCAGGAATCATATTGGCTGGAGCAGTACTCATGGGCATTGTTTAAGGCCATGTCGCATATGCTGTGCATAGGATACGGCAGGTAAGCAACATTTCAACAATTATTTCAATTTTCAATTTTACATATATCAATGGACAATTTGTAAACGTTTCCAAGTGGATCGATTTTATTTTTAAGCGCAGTACAAATTCAGATGCCAAAACATGACAAAAACTGTTTTGCATTCTAAAATTATTGCAATTAAATTAACAGAACTTTAGTTTTGTTCTTAATTTAATTTTCTGATGAAGTTTCGAGTCGATTATTATTTTCAAAAAGCCACCTTAGATGTGATTGTCTATCATTGTTTTCTGATCTTTAGATAATATTTTACCCGCTGTCTGTGGAGTATTTAGGAGTATTTAAATTGTATTTCATACATTTTCAGTTTCTCTATCTACATAAATCATTTTTCTGCCATTCAATCAATTTCCTTCAAGCTTTCTTATAGAGATTATTTGATTGTATGTGGTGATTTTAATCTCCCTTTTGTTGTATGCTCAAATTAAATTATTTGTGGGCTTCCGGCTCGATTTGATTATAGAACTGCTTACTTCTGTAACTATTATTGGAAATCAGATTTACTTAATCAATTAATATATTAATAATCTTGTGAAAATAAGGATATTGCATTATTATAGTTTTTTATTCACTCACTTTTGGAGTCTTGTGTTCCCCGGGTGAATAACTCTCGTTATTTGGTAGCTATATCCACTTACTATAATGACTATAATGATCAGATTCTAGGCATTTCAACAAATTTGTGTATATAAAATGCAAGTCTTTTTTTTACGAAATATACAAAAACAAAAGCCGATCTGTTTGCTGAGTTTTATCTATTCAAATATTCCTCTAATCATTTTGCACCCAATGCACGTTGCCCCTGGATTATTATAATACAAGTCAAATCGATTTATAAACAATATTTATTTATGAATCTGCTTGCAGATTTCCTCCACAATCACTGACGGACATGTGGCTGACGATGCTGTCGATGATATCGGGGGCCACCTGTTATGCATTGTTCCTCGGTCATGCGACCAATCTAATACAGAGCTTGGACTCCAGCCGGCGGCAGTATCGCGAGAAGGTCAAACAGGTCGAGGAGTATATGGCCTATCGCAAATTGCCGCGCGATATGCGTCAGCGCATAACGGAATATTTCGAACATCGGTACCAGGGTAAATTCTTCGATGAAGAGCTGATACTTGGCGAGTTGAGCGAGAAATTGCGCGAGGATGTCATCAACTATAATTGCAGGTGGGCAATCCTAAAACAGTGGCCTCGCTGACTGTTCAACTAACTAACCAACCAAATTAATCAATAACTTATTTGTATATAGTATTACACTCAGAAAAAAAAAAAACGATCCGCCGGTGTTACTCTGCTTATTATTTAGATAGTTTATTTCTAAAGGGAAAGAACGTGTCTTTCTTAAAACAAATTTGGGTATTTCTTTTCTTAATTTATGGGTGGATTTTTTCTAAAATGTATACAAATCATTTATAATTTCCAAGGTGTTTGTTTTTTATATTTTTACACAGAAGTCTTATAATAGCTTACATCCTTACATCAGTATATCATATATACAGAAATTATAGATTGCTTAGAAAATTAATATAATTGAATTTTTAAAAATCGCAATCTTAGAAAGAATTTTTCCATAAGTGAGTATTTTGAAATATTGTTTTTCTTTTATTTATTAAAAGTATATTATTTAGCAATAGAAAATAGCTTTTCTAATTTTAAGAAATTGTTTTCTTATACTTAGAAACTATTTCTAGAATCATGAAAAACTTTGACGTTTTCAGGACGATGTTCATTTTGGTGCCATTTTTGTTCTGAGTATATAAAAAATATTTAATTTATTTATATTTTTTATTCGCAGATCCCTCGTGGCGTCAGTGCCTTTTTTTGCTAATGCCGATTCGAATTTCGTTTCCGACGTAGTTACCAAACTGAAATATGAAGTTTTCCAACCAGGTAAGAGAACTTTTAGAGTCGATCAATTTATATAGGAACTTGAATACCAAATATGAATGGTCAATGAAAAGGCTTCTGAACTTTTCAAGGGATTCGTTTTTAAAGTCTTCAATTCTCAACAAAATTATTACAATAATATTAATCTTTTCTTCTCGAATTTGCAGGTGATATTATCATAAAGGAGGGCACGATCGGTACAAAGATGTACTTCATACAGGAGGGCGTTGTAGACATTGTGATGGCCAACGGCGAGGTATTTTACCACAAATGATCCCAACAAAATATATAAAATATATATATGTATATATATAATACAGGTTGCCACCTCACTCTCGGATGGATCCTACTTTGGTGAGATCTGTTTGCTGACCAATGCGCGTCGTGTGGCAAGTGTGCGAGCCGAAACCTATTGCAATCTATTCTCGTTGAGCGTGGATCATTTCAATTGCGTTCTGGACCAGTATCCGCTGATGCGCAAGACCATGGAAACTGTGGCTGCCGAGCGGTTAAACAAGATTGGCAAGAATCCAAATATAATGCAACAAAAGGATGAGCAGCTAAGCAATCCAGAATCGAATCAAATAACGGCGGTGGTCAATGCACTGGCCGCCGAGGCCGAAGAGTGCAAAGATGAGTAAGTTATCGCATATTGTATATACAATATAAATATATATATATTAATACATATACATATATACATTGTAGTTATAGTGACATGGATCTCAAGGAGAATTTACTGCATGGGTCGGGGTCGAGCATTGCTGAGCAAACGATACGAGAGGGCCTCCCACGGCCCAGAAGCGGCGAGTTTCGGGCTCTATTCGAGGGGAACACCCCATGACACTGAGGCACATTCAACAGCCCATCCGGCGTACATCGGGCAACCATCTGAGTAGCGGTTTGCAACCCAAAAACAACAAACAACAGCAGCAACAGCAACAACAACAGCAACAGCAACAAAAATAGTTATACATTACAGCAGCAACGCAGACACAGACACAACCAGACATCTACACACAACACACACACAAACACAAACACATGCGTATATAATAATTAGAAGAACCTTAACAAAAAAAAGTACACTCAAAATTATGAATCAATTTACGGTAGTCTACATATATATGCAATTGCGATTTAGTAGAAAATGACAACAAACAAAACAAAACGATGAAAAAAAAATGAGATAGAAAACGTATTACACAACAATGTCCTCAATAATTATTCATAATTTCAGCTCCGCTAACTGTGATGAACTTTAATATAAGAATCAAAAAACAAAACAAAACAAAAAAAAAAAAAAAAAAAAAAAAAAAATTAAAAACGAAAAAAAAATGAGTACATAAAAAGTAACTTATACGATAAAGAAAAAAAAATCAGCAGCCAGTTAAAGCATTCACACAGAGAAATCACACGGCCATAGAGGAAACACTTACACACACAGTTACATACATGATATATACACTGAAAAAAACCAGACAGACATACTACCTACATACATACATACATATATAAGTAGTAAATCTACATATAAGTTTTATGCCCACGATATTGTAACGATAACGAAGTGAATAGACTTTTGAATTGCTACATAGGTGTTAGTCCTATGGACCTACTACTAATACTAAAAAGAAAAACAAAACAGACCGATTCGATACACACAGATACACAAACAAACACAAACACACAAACACACACACCTGTAGTTACAACATACACTTGCATAACCTTATGATATAATAAAAAGCCGTTACGTTATGCATTCAAAAAAGAAAGAAAAAAAACAAGAAAAAAAAAACAAAGAAAAACATATTAAAGCGCGTAGCTATTATGTACTCAAGAGCAACCAAGAAAGAAACCAAGAATTATGTATTATTGCGGTTATATATAGCATATTTAAATACGCAGTGCAACATGGAAAACAACACTCAGCATACGAGTTTACACGACAACAACAAAAATACAACAATATTATTAAAAACAAAAAAAAAAAATACAAAAAAACAAACAAACAATTAAATTAAACAAAATGCATTAGTAGTTGAACTATTAGTTTTTCACTCACTGAAAACAAAAAAAGAAAAGAAAAGAAATACACACACAATACAATGTAGTAAAAAAAGCAGCCTCAAGAGTAAGAAAAACCTCAGTGTGCCGTCGTTTCAACGGTTAACAGCAGTAGTAACAAAAAAAAAAACAAATAATGAAAAATACAAAAAAAAAAACAATAAGAAACATATACACATAAGCATTGACTATATACACAACATACATACAACAAACAACATACATACAAACATATATACAAAACAAAAAGAGATAAAACTACATTAATTAGATAATGTTGTCTTTTATAGGGAATTGTTATGACGACTCAGTTCGAATAATGTATTTATTGCAAATTATTATTTTAATTCAAGATTCTGTTTCAACAAAATACTATTTAGTTGCGAGCGAGATCTTTTTGCAAGCCACATTGAACTACACGCGTTTGTAGTTGTGTGCATCTTTGTTTATCTTTAATTTCTGACATAAATCAAACGGAAGACAGAATACCTTGTTTGAAGATTTATGTAACTTAGTATTTTATTATACGTAAACTAATAAATGAAAAGCAGAAGGACAGCGTTTGCCTTAACATAATACAATGCGACTTCTTTTCTTTTAGAAGATTAGGCTCTTGGCTTATTTCATGTTAACATATATAAAATATATATATATGACAAGTGACTTAACCGATTACAACAAAGCAAAAATTTCGAGACACTTCAAATCTCATTCAAAAATACATATATATGATTCTATATCGTATAGCTGCGACGCACCGAACCCGACTCGATGAGCGCCAGGTTGATGTTCTTTGTCAGAAATGCGGCATCTGGATCCACAAGTATCATATGCAAGGTGGCATTCTGAAATGGAGAATTCTTAAGAATGTTGCACGTATCTTAGTTATACTTGGTTAGCCTACAGCATCGTTGATTTTTTCAATCCTCGCATAGAGGCGACGATAGCACACAAGATCGTAAAAGTAATTGCTCGCCTCCACTGAAAAGTGTTGTCCATGCCGGGGCGCCACACAAGCCAGTCGACCGGGCCAACATTGTGGTGGCAGCTTTGCAAACTCCTTGCTTAGAAATTTTATCTGAGTGGGACATATCCACAATCTTTCGCCCGTATCCACGAGTTCTACCTAATATTATTAAAAATATATGAAAATTAATGATGTACTTTGAGAAAATGCATTTCAATACTTGCCTCAATATTATTTTTGCTGCCCGCTTTAATGCTTAGCACTTGAACGCGATGCCAAACTGAGTCCCGAAAGCGTATGGCACCCAAATGGTCAGGCATAATTAGGAATGATGGCATATTATACTTAATCTCGTCGATATTGTTGTAAAACTGCCTGTTAAATATCGCATAGGTAATTAAAGTAATCACTAAGAAACTAATCTTAAACTTAAGCTTACTGCATGTAGTCAGCCATGTTCTTGTAGTCTTCGTACTCAGCGTCATGCGTCCAGAAATGGAAGATATGTGGACTGGCAACCTACGCATGAGAAACAAGTATGTTACAAAATATGTATATAATTTAAAAAATAATATTAATGAATTTACTGTCACAAGCTGCACTTCGATCCGATCCTCTAGCTTGAATTTGTTGTGGATATTCCGTTGAGGCAACTGCTGATTGAAGCGAACCACATCCTTGGGATATTCCATGCCAAATACTCGATCGTCCTGTGAATGCCAATTAAGTATTAAGTTCACAATTAGACTTCATAAAAAAATTACCACAGCATATGCTGGAATGGCATCCGATTCGTTGCCTTCGTCCGAGGACACATAATGGACAACGGGCTCTTCCCATTTTGTTTTCAACTTGGGCACAACTTCAGCTTTCCTTAAATTGCTGGAGTATTTTTGACAATTCTACAATATAAAGCAATAAATATAATAGATGAAAAGGCGAATGGCAGGATTTGACTTGCCACAGCATCATCGCAAGCTTCATCAGATGGTGGAACAATAAATTCAGACTTTTCCATTGTGTTTGCTCTAATATCCGGTTGCTTTTGTGCTTCATCTGATTTAACGATTATTTTGCCTTTCGGAATACAATTTTCATTGATATTACTTTCATCCGAAGACGACTCATCATCGACATTGGCTATGGAAAGCTTTGAAACCGAATTCCTTATCGAACTTATTCCGCCAACCGATTTTTCTGCTGGTGCTCGATTTGAGCATTGTCTCGAATGTCTATTATTATTCCAGTTAGATGAGCGTTGGTCTGCAGACAATTGTGCTTGGCGCCAGCTGCCATTATTGTTGTTGTTGCTATTGCAGCGTTTCGTCTGCTCATTCACAAACACAATATCTGATATTTCGGAGGGATACCAAAATTTGGAATTGGGCTGACCACGATTTCTTGGCCTGTTCCTCTGCTTCTTTTGGCACTGCACCAGACTCTCAATGTGAGCCGTTTTCTCGTGCCTCTTCGCACACACCTGCGCCATGGGTCCACACCCAACCAACTGGAGTGCAAAGTGTATATTTAGCAGAGTATATATATAGTTAATAATGAGTACGAACCGTAACAGTGTCGGAAATGGAGTTCAAGAAGCATTCAATGTCTTTGAAGCCAAGCTTGTAAAATGGTACCGGGGAGCCTTCTTCGCTTGCGTAGTCCCGTTTCAGTTGCTCCACAGTCATGCGATCGGGTGACGATATTATCAGTGCGCGTATCACTTTCTTGACGTAACTTAAAATACTTTGCTCGTTCATATTTCATAGATTTGCAATCAATTCTATGTAAAGCCGAAAGAAAAATTTAGATTTTTGCGCGTCCATGAAGTTGGCTGCGGTTACAAAAACATACATACATGTATGTGTGTTCAAGTATAGTACGCAGATTAGCTGCAGGTGGCACAGCATACTGCAAAAAAATCGGTGCTAATATCACGAACACGTGATAAGCACCAGTACATGATAACTGTACCATTAAGCAGACAATACATAGAGGCGCCAAATCGACAGATATGTCGTTTTGGATGAGAGTTAGTACCCGATTTTCAATTTTTGGGCCTAATGTGTAACCTTTTGTAAAGTGACTAATTTTGTAACCACAGCCAACAAAATGTATGGTGCAAATCTAAAACAGGGTATCATACACAATTCTTTTTTGTCGGCGGTCAAATATATACGCTTACATGCAAAGATAGGTTTTAACGGGATCATGTCTATGTGCGCAAACGCAGCCGGTTGATCCAATAAAAAAATTCGCATGTCGAGGCAATACCACTTTTAAGATTTCCATTAGACAATGTCGTTAGAAAACAGAATTGTTGTAGATTTGAAATATATTGGATTGGATTTCCTTCCCGTTTGTGACTATTTAATTTCTTGTTAACGCATATTTTAAGGATTCATTTATTTATTTTAGTAAAAAAGTAAATTCAGTGTTTTTTTTCAGTTTTTATTTATGTCGATAAGTTTTTTGAATATTTATCGAATATATAATCAGATATAAGAACTAGTTCATTTTGAATTAGGTGGTAGCGCTGCTACCGGCGAATCGAAGCTCGCTCATTCATTTGCTTGGGGTGGCAACGCAGCTGGTTCCAAACACATTTCTAGTTAAGTTGGCTGCGGTTCGGCAACCGAACTAGCTCTTTCTTTTTACTTCCTTTTGGTTCCGAACAAGCAGCAAAATGTCGAAGAGAGGTATTTTCCAACAAATTAAATCCAAATAAATAGTGTCAAATACAACCAATCAATGCAAAATAAGAACACTGCAGTGAAGTGCACAACCCAATGTGACCGTTTAACTAATTATTTGTGTTTTCCATCGACATTTAGGACGTGGTGGTACCGCGGGAGGCAAATTCCGCATCTCGCTGGGTTTGCCCGTAGGCGCTGTGATGAACTGCGCTGACAACACAGGTAATCAAATAAAAGTTATACGCAATGCAAATGCAATGTTAATCATATATACATATATTTATGTGTATGTTAACAGGCGCCAAGAACCTGTATGTTATTGCTGTGCACGGCATTCGCGGTCGCTTGAACCGTCTGCCCGCTGCTGGCGTCGGCGACATGTTTGTTGCCACCGTGAAGAAGGGCAAGCCTGAGCTGAGAAAGAAGGTGAGTACGCTGTTTTAATGCGCTAACAGCAGCTGCAAGTGAACAAAATACATGCAAATTGTATGTGCTGCGTACCAAAACAACAAAATGCCAAATTGCGACTTGTGCAAAATATGCTGCGTTTATTTTGCTCAGTTTTTCTGGCATTTAATTTGTGTTAATGTTTATTTGCTAACGCGTGTTTGTTCTCATTTGTAGGTTATGCCAGCCGTTGTTATTCGGCAGCGGAAGCCGTTCAGAAGGAGGGACGGGGTCTTTATATACTTTGAGGACAATGCGGGGGTCATTGTCAACAATAAAGGCGAAATGAAGGGCTCGGCCATCACCGGGCCCGTTGCCAAGGAATGCGCTGATCTGTGGCCCCGTATCGCATCGAATGCTAGCTCTATAGCCTAAGCAGTTTCCAGTTTCCAATTCGAGCAACAAACACAGAATAAACCCAATAACGGAACAACAGCAACAACAAATGTTATTAAATTAGAACTGACTCTAAGAATTGGTTTTGTTCATTTGTTATTTATTATTGTTATTACTTCGGTTTATGCTCGTTACTTGGGTGCCTCGGTGCGCAAGGTGGGCTTCGGCCGTGTCACCTCCATCGAGATCTTGCCGGTGGCGCCCTTGAACAGCGCATAGCACACCTGGAACGTGAGACCCTCCAACGCATCGCCATTTAATTTCGTTATAATATCGCCGCGCTGCAGCCGGCTATCAATCTCCGGATATTGTCCTTGAATCTGCGAGGAACACGATCATTGATTTAAATAGACACAAATACAATAATACACATACAATGTCGGAGATGGTGCAGCCGCGTTCGTTGGGCGACAGCGATAAGCCCAGCTCTTTGCCGCTCTTCTTCATAAAATCGACGTTGATCTTCTCCAGCTCGGGTGGATCGGCTCGGTAAACGGTAAAGTTGACATTCTTGTCATAGGTCGAGTGGAACAACTGGTGCACCTTCAGCGTGGTCAAACTCTCGCAGTGCACTGGCCTGCCATTAATGTCGCAAATGTGATCGAAGATCTTCAGCCGATTGTCGGTTGCAAAGACGCCCTCGGGATAAATGTGTGTGATGACACAACCAGTCTATGTGCAAAGTAAAATATGATTATATATATGTATACTATGTATGTATGTGTGTGTGTGTATTTGCTCACAGTGACATGATTGTTCTTGCCGCCGCACACAATGACGCCCAACGGCTTCTTCTCCACTTTGACCTCAATGATTATCTTTTTGTTTGGCTTTATTTCGGCAACTGATGGATCCTGTGGTTTCTCCTCCTCCTTTTTGACCTCTGCAAATTTGGCATTTAATCGAAATCATTTAATATTAGTTTGGGTAATTGATGAATACCTCAGTAGTAATCTAGTTCTTCAAAAGATAAACTTGATTTAAAAATGAGGTAAATTTTATAGTCAAGATATTTTAGCTTCAATCGGTCCAAGACAACATTGTCTGCTAATCGGAAGAATTTGCTGTGTTTTGCATTTAATTTAAGTATTTTCCTGGTGTAGTTTTTATATACATTTACAGAGACTATTTTTTCATTCTGATACCCAACGTATCATGGAGATAGATACTTGAAACTTCGGAAATATATTGGTCTGTGCTACTAGGGGGCTAGGAAATCGATAAGATCGATAATGGCACATTTCACTCACAATTTTAAGGCTATAGTCACCAAAATTAGTTTGTTGGTTGTTGGCGATATACTTCAAAGATGAACCCATTGAAAATGAGTGTAAAGGGTATAATGATTTTCTTAAAATATATATAACACGCAGAAAGAAGTATATCCGACCCCACAAAGTATATGTATATATTCTTGATCAGGGTCAACAGCCGAGTTGATGTAGCCATTTCCGTCTGTCCGTCCGTCTAAATGAACACGTGGATCTCAGAGAGCTGGAGACTTCAAATTTGGAATATAGGTTCTCGCATACCCTGTTCATATCAAGCATGCTTTATTTGATCGATAACTGCAACCGTATCTCAAATATCGATACATTTCGATTTCCGATATCAATAAATGCTATAATTTTAAAGGCAGAATTCTTATTAATACATTTTATTGATCAACTGGCAAATTTTCGTCAAGATCGGATAAGAAACACACAAATTATAGTTCTGTATGCATAGCCATGCGTGTACATGCGTAAGAAAGAGATGGCATGATAATCGACACGAGTGTCAAAATATTTTTGTATCTATGCTGCAGAGTCCCGTTACATACGATTGGCTGTACATGTATGTATGTATGAATATTCACGTGTTTGTCGGTAGAACGCACTTGCAGACCTGCTCACATTTTGGTGCAAAGCTTTAAAAGGGAAATTTTCCAATAAAACTAGAAATATTTAACAACGGGACTCAGGGTATATCGTAGTCGTGCTCACTCGACTACAGTACTCTTACTTGTTTACTCTTCAGTGTCTGTTTCTGATTTGTAAAAATAAATTATCCAAACTAAAACTACTATATATTTAACAGGTGGGTTCAGGGCATATCCTAGTCGAGCTCACTCGACTACAGCTTGCTTACTTGTTTTCATTTTTATTATTATGTTATATATTTTATATTATTAGCAATATTAAAAAGTGTTATTAGGCTCAGTGATTATACTAACAAGTCCTACTTCAAGCAATCCCCATTTTAAGGCGATTATTACTTACCTTCCTTCTTCTTTTCCTCGACTTCTTTCTCGGCCTTTAAGGACTCCTCGCTCTTGAGCGTGAGCAGAATCATGGTCACAACGCCCTCGGCGCGCTTGATTAGTCCGGTTGCCTGAGGAGGGGATGTGTATTTTAGGACTTGTTATCTTTGCATTGATTAGCTGATTAGCTGATTAGCCCACCTCGTCGTAGTTGGAATCTAGTGTAACATCCTGGTTAATTGCCAGCAGCATGTCTCCAACTTTGATGCCCGCCTGCAAGCGATTTGTGGCAAGTGGTTACGGCAAAGGGTAAGGAACAGCAACACTTACCGCTTCTGCATTGGAGCCCTCACGCAAATCGGAGACAAAGATGCCATTGCCCACCTCCACGTGCTTGCCATAGATGACCATTATGCCCAGGAAGCCCTCCTTGCGCACCTGCACCGAGCGCGCCTTGGGAAACTGATCGAAAATGAACTTGGTCTGCAAGTATAAAGTCAGAGTTTAACAATACTTCGGTGCATTATGGATGATTGCATGCTTGCCTCATCCGTAGATGCTGGGAACTTTTTGATGGGCTTCACACACATGCCCTCGTCGTTGGGTTTGCGTCGTGACGTAATCATGACGAGCTTCTCCCCCTCGACATTCTTGAACACGGCGGTGGCGTTCAAATGGCAGCGATTCTTTAGCACATTGCCATTGAGTTCGACAATCTCATCGCCCGGTTTCATATCCACACCGGCCAGCAACCCATTGGGATCGACGCCGGCCACAAAGCAGGCCATCTTCTGTCGATCCTTGTGGCCGGCAAGAGCAAGACCCAGCGGCATGTTGCCCGTACGCTGCAGTTCGATGCGGCGCAGATCCTTCATCATGTTATAGCGTTTGTTGATCTTCGCCATCGTATATCCAAACTCATCCTCCTGCTCCTTGTTGCGGTCCTTCTCCTGCTTGTTCAACTTGCAGTTACCTGCCGAAGCGCGATCAATCTGAAATTGATTTAATAATTGTTGCGAATGTTATTTAGAATTTGAGGCATTTGGCCATGGCAAACCTCATAGCCCGCCTCGGTGCGAATGCGACCGGTCATGTCACGCGTATCCTCATCGTCCTCGTCCACATGGGCGGTGGGTACGTGCTTGACCTTTTGGGATGCCGAGAAGGTAGCATTGCTGCGTTTGGGTTCATTTCGCATTGTCGGCTGCCTGGCCATGGCGGCCGTGCTAGTGTTACCAGATGTTGGTTCTATCGAAAGAGATCAATTCAGATCATTTGTACATGTCTCCAATTAAAAAATCCAGATCCAACCTTGGTTGAACTTATTTTTGGCCTGCATGTAACCATTGCTGCGTGGATCGTTCTGTTTGTTGCCCTCATCGCTCTTGTCGAACGTTTGTATTTCCAGCTCGATCTTAAAGTCCGCATCCTTGATTAGATCGATGACTGCCTGTTCGGTGGCATTTCGCACATCCTTCCCATTCAGCGATAAAATGCGATCGCCAACCTACAAATGGATTACATTTGGTGGTTGTAATCGAAAGTCACTTTTGGGTATCTCAGCTACAGACCTTCAGTTTAGCACAGAGATGCGCAGGACTATCGGGTACAATGCCCTTTATAAATATTCCCGTTGTTTTCGTATTCGGCGAGTCCTTAACCTCGCCACGCACAATACAAATGCCAAATGATTTCTTGCCCGTTTTATCCAAGGTTACCATGTGAATATGTTCTTCAATATTACAATTGACATATACCCAGTGGAAAGAGAGAGAGAGATGGAGATAGAGAGAGAGAGAGAGAGAGAGAGAGAGAGAGAGAGAGAGAGAGAGAGAGAGAGAGTAAAGGAGAAAAGCAGTGAGAGCAACTAATGAAAAGAGTTTTTAAAGTCTTTCTCTTTTTAATATAAAAAAAACACTTTTCCTGACTAACTGCTTGTGACCTAATCTCAAGAAACTCACATTTTTTCGACTGTGTAGTCGAATTAAATTAAATAATATGATTTTCTTTCATTGATGGACTGAGTAATTTATAAATACAATTAAAAAATCAACCTGAAATTTCGAAAACTCGCCATACTTTCGATCAGTAGCTTCTTAATCTCTTAAGATTTTTTCCATCTTTTCTTAAAGGCAGATTTTTGTAATTTAAAAACAAAAATCTAAATAACTGGGTTTTTTCTATTTTTTATATAGATTTCTCCCATTAGCTTTTTTCATAGTTGTATTATTATTATTACTTTACGACTTCACATACCATTTAATTCATTTAATTTGAAAAACTTACCTTTGTTTTCTGATATAACAGTTTTATAATTATTTACTTAATATATACTTTGAAATTATTTCTAAAGACAAGAAAAAGAAATATATATAATAAGAAAGCCTTTGCTGTTGTATATATTTGAAGTATTAACGAAGTTGAGGTATTATTAATCTGGAAGCCAAATCAGACCGTGTTTAGTTTTAATAAAGTTATGGCTGTGGATAATTTTGCCTTCAGCGTTTTACCTTTAATTCAATTCAATCAAAGTTAGCCTTTATAAAGATTAAATATTGGCTTTGTTATAGAGCAATTCCGTTTTTAATTTGATTGAATAACTCATTTTTAATTACACATTTAATTTAGAGTTGTCTATTTCTATTATTAAGAACTGTATTTTAAACTTCTTATCTCGGGAATAACACATTGGCATCCATTTGTGTTTTTTTATTTATCCTAAATATTTTGTATGTTTTTATTTTCTGGGCTTGCTTAAATCCGTGACACAAATTTAGGACCAGTTTTACATACTCCAAGTTATTTAATTTAATTTTTTTTAACTTCCATTTAAAATGCAAGAATATTTAATTTTATTTTTAATTTTATGTAATTTAATTTTAATTTTTCGTATGTTTTCTATGTCTACTGATATTAGTGTACACTTAATAAATAAAAAAAAATATTTTTTTAAGCTTATTTATTTATTTATTTATTATGATAGTAAAACTCCGTCTTAGTGCTTAAGTCTTAAGTCCAATCAGAAATCATTTTTGAAAATTTTTGCTTCAATCACCAATCAGTCAATCAGTCAATCAGTCAGGATATATAGTTTTATATAATGTGTTTATGCAACTATTCCGAGCAGCTTAGAGCTGGGAAGATGCAGCTGTAAGCACTGGCATTGACTATAAGCTTATTAATCCATAGATATATTGTGATTATCTAACAAGTCACAAAATTCGTTTAGCTGAGTTTCTCTTTTAATTTTATTCACACTTTTTACTCTTTTTTTTTTTGTATTTGCACTCTTTTATTTATTTTATTAGCTGCATTTTAAAATTTGTTTTTTTTCATTGGCTAATTTTGCACAAATTAGTTTCTTCAAAGTCAGTTTGCAAGACTGAAATTGATTGGGATTTTAAGATCTTGGAGTACTAACCACCGCCGCCACCGGCCCCGGAATTCATTTGGAATTGAACCATGATTAATGAGTTTCAATAATATTTACAGTTGTGTCAAACATTAAATGTTAAACTGTATTGTTTTTTTTTCTTTGTTTTTTATTTTTTGAGTTGTGAGCTCATTGAAAATCGCGCCTAAACTGATTTTACAATTAGCAGTCTGGCATTCTTGCTAACTGACTTAGTGGCCATTCTATTTTGAGTATGATTTTCGTATCGATTACACTGCGCAACAAGACAATGTTTTTCTAATGATATATTTTTGAAATATAAAAACCGAAAACAGTTTATGCGTTTGTCAGTCTATAATAAATGTATTATATAATGACAAAGTCTATTTAATTTTATTATTTTTATTTCCTATTTTATTTAAAATTTGTAATTGTTGCACAGTATTATCGATTTGCATTGGCTTCAATTGCATTGAGTAACTTTCTCTGCTTGTTTGCGGTAACTAAACGCAATATGACGTAACAAACACACGCAGCCACACACAGTCACACACAGTCACACAAATCAGTCACAACATTTAGACCGCATAAGAGGTAAATGTGTGTTTGGTTTGCCGGCATCTTTATTGACCATATTACAATATTAATTTGCTGGTGCTTGTGATCTGAGCAATGCACAAAACTTGGCACACTCCGCAAATGGAAGCCCAGCAAGTGCTGCGTAAATGCCAAATGCCCATCGATTTTAGTTGCTTTTCCATGTAAATACATCTATATGTATATGTACGGACATACATATGTATGTATGTGCACAAGAAGAGAACTAAATACTTGGCAACAAAATGTGTGCAGCATTATAAAGCTGGAATCAGTTTGAATTTAATTTATTCTCAGCGCTAAGATGCATAATCAAAATTTGCATTTTAATATAATAATAAGCCAAAGGAAATGAAAGAGCACAAACAAGAGGCAGAGGGGGAGTGAGAGGAGGGAACTGGGCTACAAAGCTATGCAAACATTTCCATTAAATACTCAAAGGGAATATACATATAGATATATTTATATATATATATATGTATATGTATAGATATATAGCATAAAGTATAGCAGAAAAAAGTTGAGTAAACAGTAGCGCTCAAGGAGTGAGAATTACTTATAAATACACACAGCTACACACACACAAACACACACATACAGGCATATGTACGCTGCTTTAAATATGGGGAAAGGGATGAAACGATGTTGAAAATTAATTTCATAATAAAAAAGCGTAAGGAAACCCATTTGATAAAACAATTTCCTTTTTGCCTCCCAACAGTCATGTTTTGTTAGTAAAGTAAATTCAAAAGAGAGCGAACAGCGAACATGATAAAAAAAAAGAAAAAAACCAAAAAAAAACATGCAAAAATATAGCAATGAGCTTAACTTTCAGCGCTGCACGCATCCGCAGCTACGGCAAATGGCGTCTGCAGCTTCTCCATGCATTCGCATTAGCTGCTGCGCTGCCGGCGTCGCTGTCATGATGCCTCTGCTGAGTGACAGCAGCGCTGAACGCTGATTGGTCGTTTGGTGTGCTGCTGGCACGCCTTTCGCAATGGCCGCTGTCTGTTTTCGGGCGCTGTTGCTGTCTCTCACTTTTGAGCAGCATCCTGCTTTTGGGCTGTGACGCGTCGCAGTCGGCGCATGGTTGTTGCGACGATTTAGTTAACTGAAGTGATTTTCTTCTGTTTGCTGTCGCGTACACACACACACACGCACAGAGACAACAGAGCTATGCTCTTATATATGTAAGTAGCTACACGTGTATATACACATCCATACATACATTTGCCTGTTTGGATCTGTGTGTGTGTGTGTGAATTCGTTGTTGACTTGTTCTCGTGTTGTACTTACATGCAGTTATATCAAATTGCTAATAATCGTTTAGCAGCCACTTCTGAGTGCGTCCTGGAAATGAATAAAAATTACGGTTTTTTGCGCATAAACACTTGAGCTGGCAGAAACCTTGTTATAAATTTGGCTATTGGTACCGGTCTTGGTCTTAATTGGGATTATTAACCTAATAAATGTTTGAGATTTCAATTTTTGTCCAAGTCAGAGCAAACTATGATGTTTTTAATGAGTTTCTTTTTGGTAGTTAGGAGACTATAATGCTTTGGCATTTATTTATATAAGCAAATATATATATGCGAATTAAAAATTAATAAACATTATATACATTCACGGAGTTTAAATTGATTGTAGCTTTGCATATAACATTTAACATTTTTACTATAAATTTTATTATATAATTTCACGGTAAGCACTCAATCATGCGTGAACATTTTTATTGATTTTATATTGGCGAAAAGCCATAATAATTGTTAAATTAATTTTAAGCCACTTCTGGATTATTTTTAGACTTACCTAAATCTTAATAATATACTCGTATATAAATATCTTAACATAATATATATATTTTTCATTTCATGTATTTTTTTAAAATTCATATTTAATTTCCACCGCAAATTTTCAAAATCAAAAACTTAAGTACTTATTAACAGATGCTATAACCATTTTATTCAAACACCATGATAAATAAATATACAGTCTAAATAAAAATCATTTTAGTGAATTTGTAAATGAATAAAAAACATTTGAATACTTGGTGTATGATGTCTGACATGCCAACTAGAATGACTTTGAATACCTCTTGAGTGACACAAAAAAAAAACATGAAAGTATTTAATCTGAACTCAGGAACGCATACGCAACAGGCACTCTTAAGATACGCACACAACCATCTAAAACAAAACAAAACAAAGCGAAACGGAACGGAACAGATCAGAACTGAACTGAAGAAGGAGAAAAGGTACGGTAAAGGCAAGGAAAGAAAAGGATAAGAGCCAAGTGAATATTCTCACGAGTGTTGAGAGGACATCGGCAAACAATTACGTGAACATGTGTAGTGAGTATAAGGCAGACACTGCAGGGCTGGCTAGCCGAGGAATGGCATGCCCCGTGGTATGGATTATGGATATTTGTGTTTACTACGGATATGATGGGCTCATAACTTTTAAATGCGAACGTGATACGAGCAAATAATGGTGCCCACATAAAATGACATTGGTGCTCTGCCTGGCGCACTTGTATCTAAATATCTGTGTATCCTGTGCGTCCTGTGCGTCCTGTGCATTCGCATATGTATCTGTTGCTGTAGCTTTATCCTGTGCATGCAACTGTTTTTAATCACAACAGCACACAAACATTCGAGGCTTTTTTTTTTTTTGTTGGTCAATTGTGCGTCGGAAAGGGAACATTAAAACTCAATTTAAATGACAACGCATAAACAAATAATTGTCCTTTTGCACACACACACACACACACACACAGAGAAAAATAAGCGACAGATCCTGCTGCATGTAGCCTATAGCTGTAGCTGCTCTAAGCCCTTGGCTCGAGTGCGCCTCAAAAAGTTCACTCGCACGGTAGTAAGTTATTCAAATATTGAGTTTTTAACTCGAGCAGCCAACCACCACCACCCAGCAGCACAGCACCATCAAGGAGCAGCAGTAACAACACCCACCACCCTGCAAAAAACTTTGTCAGGCACCATGTGCGCAGGGTCGCAGATGCAGATACTATATATATATATATATATATATAGATACTATATATTTATATATGTATATACATATCTGTATGTGAGGTCCTCAAACTGGGCATCATTTTATACATATCATCAAGTGCGTATTGCTGCCGAAAAGCGAATTTCATTTGGGCTGTCGTCGTCGACATCAGTCAGTCGATGCTGCGTCGCATCCCTTTGTTTGAGTTTCTACTCCTAAATATATTTGATTTGTTTACCATGCCCTGGAGCCCTCAAATCTTAAGCCGCATGTAAATGCGTTAAATTAAATTTCAAACGCTTGTACTTTTCACAGCAGCAACAGCAACAACAGCAGCAGCCAGGACAATTCAATGCCAGAGTCCTTTTTATTTACTGTGCTTAAGTATGAGGCTAAATGCCTAATGCGATTATGGCAAACGACGCTTTTGGCTTGATTTCAGCTGCTTTATATGTGAGCAAGAAAAATAAAATAATATTAATCGCAACAAATTGAGATCTACAAGTGATTTGAGTTTGATTGAGTTGCTTGGCGAATGGATTGGTTTCCCCTTTCTCTTTATTAGAGTGAAGAATGCTTAAAATTCTTTTCTTGAGATATAATTGAAACTGAAATTTCAATCATTAACTGTGTTTCTAAATAAAATGTATTTTGAATCTAAAGACGAAATAATGATCAAAACGCCATTGCTCTTAAAAATCAGTTCAGTTTTGATTTGTTTTATTTTTAGTAGAAATATGGATGAACCTATTGAAAGCCAATCAAATATGAATGGAAATATACATGTAAAGAGAAATAAATGTACATTCTTAAAGCCTATAAAATATGAATCGAAATAAATATTATCTTAATATACATTTCGATCTAAAATTAAATGCAGTTTTAATTCAGAAAAGCTATTCAAACAAAAAGATTTTGACTTGAAAATCTGTTGAGTTTTGGGCAAGCTAAGACATTGGGTAATTTGGAACCGTGTCTTTTTACTTGTACCTATTTAAAATCAAATTTATTTTTTATTTATTTACGCTTAATAGAAATATTTAACAAAATATTGAAAAGCTTTATTAAATTAATTCGCCATTATTAAATATGAATATTTACTTTGAGCCAAAATCATATTAAAAATTTAAGTACAGAAGAAAACAAAAAGGTATTGCTTTTGAAAGTCGGAAACATTGGGAAACTTGGAACCGTGTCTATAGGAATTTTGTTTTTGATATGAGTTCCAGTTAATATTCTAATAGATACCAAATAAATGCCTCAAAAGGATTGCTTTCGAAAGTTTTCGCAGTTGAAAATCCAGACCCTTTATTTGCCAAAATGATTCTTTGCAAGTTAACCCTCTCCAAATAGCCAGAAACATGCGTATTTATTTATATTGTGCTCAATATTGTTGATTTTGGACACTGATAGTCTGATAGAGATAGGCAGTCCTGTCCCCGCACGTGTTCACACTTCAAGGGTCGCGGTTCGCGGCACGTGCAAACGTTTTGTAATTTCGTCATCAATGCTGGCAAATATTTGCCATGCGCATTTCAGTTGGCAGTGTAAATTGCAAATTGGTAATATCATCAACATTATCA